TCCCAATCACACCGGTCCAAGACACGGCCAGAGTAGCGCCGAGGCAAATGAGGACTGACGTCAAACGTTACCAGGGTGACCAAACGTGATGGTTTGTGGGAGTTGTAGTTGTCTTGTACATCCCCTGTTAGCTTTATTTTAAAAACAGTTTGGAAACAATTTCTCACTATATGGCCATCCTTTTGCTGTTATTCTGTGAAACACGGAAAACTCTACTCTCCCCTACTGCGGTTTTCTCGCAACAAGAAAACTGAAACCTATTACATTTTATCCCTGTCAAAGTTGTAAATCACATTCTCTGAATCACAACTTTGGAAAATAAATAGAACTGACAGACACAGAAACTAATAGAATATCTTAAGTAGTAAATAATTATGATAATCATCTAAAAAGTCTTGTGTTTTTAGATGATTATCATGAGGTATTTGCTCAAGATGCAGAAGGCACCACAAACTGGAACACAAGACACAGCTATGGTACTTTTCTAATAGAAACTACTATTTTTGCATTCTGGTTGGTTTCCAAAGGGAGAGAGTGAAGCTATTTTTGCCGTGTCACATGATTTCCCCTTGAGCAAAGATTTCAAGCTTGTAACCTATTTAAGGACTGATCAGATAATATTGGCTGCAATGTGCAGAGACAGGAGCAAAAGAAGAGGAAGGAAACAAGGGGGAAAATACATGTCTACTGTGTAAGTAAACCGTGGTCAGGGAAGGGTGAAACTCCAACCCACAGGGACTCCACTATAAAAGCTTTAGAAACCAGTTCGGTGGGTTTTACTGTCCGTGAGCCATGTCTTGTATGCACATGCACAGACACACACAGAGAAGCAGCTTCTGCTCACCGGAACAATGGCTGAGTGTTGAACACAAATCTTTCTGTAATGGCAACAGTTCTCATGTTAGATTTCAGTTGAAAACACTAAAGTGGAGAGGATTAGCACATAGAATACAGCAAAAATGACTGAGGAAATTAACACACACGCACAAAAAAAAGAAATGTGTTATATAATCAAAGTAATTATAGGAGTTTTTTATTATTATTTTTACTAAGTCTCAAAATGTTTCTTTATTTTGAAAGGGCGAAGACAATAAAGCATTAATATCTGTAAGAAAAACTAAAACTACAGAGGCGGTCTGAAATAATTGCAAATAATCCATAAATGTACAGGAGAGTCATTTTCTATGTTACGAAAGGCATATTGTGTCTTTTTAGCTCTGTCGTGTAATATTCATAGTCACAGTTCACAGAAGTGATATTGAAAAGCTGTCTAACAATAGCAGAATTGTTGGATGCACTGTGCACACCATCTATTTCTCGACACACTGAGGCCGTTATTAAACTCTTCTCTGGTATGAAACCGGGAGGACAAACTGACCAGTTCTTCCTGCTCTGCAATTTTGCATTATTCCCAGTTATTTCAACTTTTAACATTATTATCTGTTCGTCACTCTACATAAACATTCTTTTTAGCTCGGACATCTTTGTGATTGTTATGTCGTTTAGGTAAGTGCTGTGAATGTGACCCAGCCTTTTGTAAAAGTGACCAAAAGCCGGTGACTAATTTCCAGGTGTTACATTCCTGGCCTGGGAAGACATAACATGCTATGTGACTCTCAGCTCTTCCCACACCCATGAAGGGCCAGCTGGATGGCAGCTATTTAAGAAGGTGAACAATATTCATGGCAGCTAAAAGTTCATTAAAGCATATTGTATAAATAATAGGGTTTTACCTTAAGACTAAAAGAAGCAAAGATTCAGTTCAGAGCAGATACATTCAGAGAGAAAGTCAGGTAAGTATGTCAGAAATCTTTATTCTTCAAAGACATGACTGTAACTTTCCACTACCATCCCACACAGGTCTCTCATTAACACACACAGAGTAAATACTGAATCTGAGTCAGTGTGAGGAGAGTGACAGTGGTGTTGATTGGGATTTCAAACGCGGCTCCTCTTTAGTCCCAGTGCACATACACACACACACTTCTGGAGGGGTGTGTGTGTGTTCTTACAAAAACAAATTTCCAAAGGGGATGAGCAGATGGGCGACACTGAAACAAAACAAGCCGGGTGGCCTCAGAGGCGCACCGACGTTTCTGAACAGCAGAAAAGCGACGCAGGTCTGGTTGGGAACGGGAGTGATGCAACCGCATGAGCAAAGGTCTTACGTAAACACCGGGAAACGCCCAGCATTCCTCTGAAAGCAAAAAAGTGCATGACTGTATTACTGGAAATCCAAGAGACTCACACCTTAGCAGTGTCGTTCATAAGTTTACATACAGCTATCATCTGGTAGGTAGACCTACCCCATCATGTGAAAATCGCATTCATTTTGGTCTTCTGATGAGGTGGTGAACAGTTAATGTTTTTCCTTTAGTGCTTTCCATATTAGCGTTGGGGTTATACTTATAAAATAAACAATTTCACAGATTTTTAAGAGCAGAAATTGCGGGCATAGGGGCTGTTTCTAGTACACAGTAAGATATTATATAATCTCTAATATTTAGAGATTATACATTTTATATGTTTTCCCCCACAATGTTTGAAATTAAATCTGAGTAAACCTTTTTTTTCTTTTTACCAAAATTTATGTCATTTAATCAAAGTAGAGATTTTTTTTTAAGAGTAATTTTATACACCAAGATAAAGTATAGACAGTGTGGGAATATTCCCCATTATACTAAGAGTATGAAAGTGTTTTGTTGCAAAATGTGTGATTCAGCTTTTGAAAAAGAAAAAAAAAGAAGCAAAATACCCTGTGAAGAGGCTGAGTGAAGAGGCTGAGTGAAGCTGGCGAAAAAGCAACTGCACAGTGAAATCAGTTCTGTACCAAGATGGGCTGGAAGGCCGCTCAGAGAGGAAGAAGCCAATTCCAGAAATTCCATAAAAGATTATACCTTACTTTCATAATTAGGAAACACACACAGAGACAAAGACCTTAATATTTAAAGACATGTCCTGGATCTCTTGAGAGGTTTAGCTGTAGTGACCTTCCTTACATTTAGAAGAAAAAGAAACATTGGAAGCATGAGAACACCATCCCAACTGCGAGGCCAGGAAGTGGGAACATCCTGTTGTGAGGCTGTTTGGCTGCAGGACGGACTGGAGCACTCCACAAAATAGATGATCGGTATCATGAGGAGGAAACATTACGTGGCAAGTGTGAAGGAATATCTCAGGATATCAGACAGGAAGCTAAAACTTGACCAAAAAGCTTTAAGCTTCCAAATGGGGTCCAGGAGGAACACTAAGTCAACACTGAAAAAACACAAAAATCTTAAGTATTTTTGCAGTTCGTTTGTCTTCACAGCAGGTACTCAGTTATTATTTATTTATTTATTTTTTTATCTCAAGTGCTCCTCATCTATGCTATGAAAGGTTTGCCTTACAGTTCAGGCAAATCTTTATTTCCTGAAACCTGGAGAAAAAATAAATAAATAAAATAAACTCCTACAGAATTTATGAAGTGATTTGTCAGGATCACATAGTTTATTTTACAGACTGTGGCAATGCTTGTGACAGGAAACCATGACTGATGACTAATGGCATTAAGTCATTACTTAAAAATCCCTAAAATCCCCTGGACTGGTTTCAATAGTGAACAAGTCCCGACAAGCTAGAAAAAAAAGAGATATTAGATATCTCTTTCCTGATTAGAGATTAGAAATCTGAGACATCATTTAGTGGAACATTTATCTACTTGTTCTAGTTAAAATAACTGTGTATAATTTTTACATTCATACATACACTTCTAAATGTCAGTATTATAATACATTATCCTGAACTGCAGGATTCCTCTTCAGTGTGACAAAGATTCAGGAAATATTGGTTTACATTTACACTGTATGACTGCATAATATTTAAGTAAAATAAGTTTTAAAATGTAGTAAATACTAAATACCTCCATATTATATAGAAATAACTATATTCAGTTTCTTCCAGAGAGTTCATAATGTGATATTCAGTTAGAACGTGTTGTGATGTGGCTTGTCTGTTGGATTAAAAGGCCTTCTGAACATAATCTCATTATGTTGTTCAAGTTTCAGTAAACTCACATTGCTGAATGAAAATGCATTTCTTAAATTTCTGCAACAGATTTCTTTTTCTTTATTTGATCAAATCGGAGAATAAAATAACAGAAGAAAAATGTTACAAATTGCTCAAAATATAGTAAAACCTTTATTTTTCTGCACCCCATTACAAGTAGAATCGGTGCAAAATATTGTAAATTAGATACTAGGTGTGTATGTTATTCAACTGCATTTTAAAAAAATATGCATTAGCTTTAGATTTTGGGATAAAAGTTTGCACAGACCTTAATTACCTTACTTAAACTATTCCATAAATCCACTCTGTAATGCACGTTTGTTTTGTTGTAGAATAAGCACTCTTTTAAAGGTTTTCCCAGTAATTTTGGTTTGCTTTATAAATTGTTACTAAAAGTTTTGAATTAAACACAATCTCCAAATTTTAATATTTTAGATTTTAAAAACAGTGAATAATCTCTGAAAATCAGAATAATGGGGAATTCTAATTACTCTTGAAAACTGTATCTAAATTGCTCTTGTAGCCTCAACTCCTTAGCTGACATATTCTAATGTAAGTGTGTATTATATTCTACAACACACAAGGAGTTGTAGACTTAACAGGTATTTTGATTTCTTCGTTATAGAAAAGCTCCTGGCCATCTTGGATTTTGTGTTTGCAATATGAAGTTTCCAGCAGGCTTCATGAACGAGTTATGATTAAAATTTTTGTCATTTAATCAAAGTAGAAAAGTAATACAGATTGATAGCTGTTCTAATATTAAATGTGTTTATTAGCATTAAATGCCATTCAGCATCAGTCTGAGTGTATTTCATTAATGTTTCACTTAGTAATTCAAGTCAATGAAATAAACTTTATTCTAATATTTCATTTGATCAAAAATGAATGTAGAAAATACATAATGGGACATTTCTGTTTATACATGGAAGAATGCTAAAAACAAACACTGAAGATCTGATATAAAAGACCTTTATTAAAAGACTAAACATTACATTACGCTGACAAGATATGATTATTACAAAAGTAAAAACATGGCTGGTTGTCAGTCCAGACTTAGAGCACAGTGATACAATGTTCAGTGGTTCAATACCAGAAGGTCCAAACCTGTTGGAAAAAATTTTCCTTTCAATAAATTAAATCTGTTAGTTGGTCATAATAGGAAGTTTATACAAAAATAACTGAAGCTGACTTGCAGTGTAGTGCAGTTCAGACTTTCAATGCAGGTTCAGAGTCAGAACACTTTACCTCAGTCATGATCGGAGAACAAAGACTTGCCCTTACAAATGTCAGAAATTTGACTTTTAAGACTGTTTACACTGGAAAACTCCACAGTGATAAACTAAGTTGTTTTTAAATCTACAGCTGTGCACAAGTATGTCACAAATGTTTTACCATGGTAACCTCTGGGAACTGGAGTAGCCCATTACCATCATCAAACTAAGAGATACTTCATGAGGTCAAAGGATTTTCCTCTGGATAAAGATTACTGTGAATAAACTTTCACTCTCCTCTATTTACCTTTCACAGGGAGTAAACTATGTACAATTCATGAACTTATGAGGGGAAGATGGAGGAATTTCAATACCCGTGTAGCGCATATTCTTCATATCGACAAAAATAACCAGCATGCGAGGTTCTGTTGAATCTTTCCAGGCAAGAACAATATCAATGCAGCTTGGAAGTAAAAAGGAACAAACCACCGTTTTGACATTTATCTTTCCAAACACATTATGAACTCAAATATTTTGCAGACATCGTTGCATCAAAACGTGGAGGACAGATTGACCAAGCGGAACCACTTGGTCAGGCTTTAGAGCCTGCTCTGCAACAATGGGAGACCTGAGAGGGTGCAGTAGTCACAAAGCTCATAGCTGCTCTTGTAACTTTAGCGTTGGAAATGATCAAATACCGTTTACAATTCGACATGCAAGACTTTTTAGAAGTGAGACGAGGGGGGAGTACCGGTCGGTCGTGCATCTTCCATCCTTCGGTAACGGGGCCTGGATCAAATTTTGGCAGTTTAGGGCAAGGAAAAAAAAAAGAGACGAACCAGTAGGTACATACCATCTCTGCATAAAACACTCAAACACAGATAAATCAGCTGGAGAAGCAGATATTTCTTCTGAAACACTCAAAGTTATGTGTCCAAAGTGTAGACAGAGCCTGTCCTGAATCAGCTTCAGCTGTCTCATTAGTGGAGGTGGGTGTGTTACGCTTCCACGCCGACTAACTCCTGGGGCATCGGAGACTTTGGATGTTTGCTTTGGAAGTGCTGCTTGAAGGTTTTAGGGTCGGGCATTTGTGTCTGAAAAAAGAAGAGAAATTGGAACATGAAAATAGAAGTTAACAACTGCAAGTAAGAAGATTGTTCCTAAAAAAATAAATAAATAAAGACTATCAAATGCGTACAGTAACAATTATTTTGTTAGCTGCAGAGGCATGGTTTGCAACAACTGATCAAGCAAACGCTAAAATGAAATGTTATTGCATTTTAAAAAATCTCATTTGAAAAAGAGAATTGATTTGCTTGCTTATTTAATGTTATATAAAAAGTCATATAAATCTGTCAATTTTTTGCACCCGATAAATCAATTAATCGCCAGAATAGACTATTCACCAAGTAAAACAGTCAATTATCGCAGCCTTAGTTCTTTCCAAAGTGAACATTAATAGGCATCAGATCTGATGAGAGAAATTCTGTCTCATGATGCAGCATACAGTAAAATCTGCTGAAATGTTTCATTTGAAATTATTTTGTTTGTTTTCTTCTCCAGCTTTCTGTCTATTCCCCAAGTCAACCTTGGAGAATATTTTTTTAAAATATTTTTTTTGTAATGCACTTAAATTAGTTTGCCAACAGTCAATAGAATCAAAAGAAGAAGAACGTGAGCCAAAGACAGAAAAGCCACACTTTTCAAATTTTTCAAAACCATTCACCATATTTCTCCCACTTTTGCAATTTCGCATCACCGTGTCACAACTGTCTATTGTGTGAAATCCCAATTCTATAAACCTTGTGATGCAACATGACGTGGGCACAAACACTTCTGTCAACCATAGATGGTTCAGGTAATGTTTAGCAGGGAGTGCATATTTAAAAACTGAGACTCTCGTGTTTTCTTTCTGAAAACAATTCAAACACAAAAGCACAGCACGTGCCCAGATTGATGCATATAATTTACATACCCGGCATACCCTACAGGTGTACACCAAGGCAGCTTTGGCTGCTGCCTTCTGGTCATGACCTTTGCTCTTCTTTATTTCCGCCTGCTTTTTGGCATTTTTCTGCTGAGACTGAAACTTCTGGTGCCCACGGGCCATATCTGATGTTACATCTGAAGGAATCAGACAGGAGGCAGAGAACAGCAGTGTGTTAGGGAGGATGGATGGAGAGGGTGGCGGAAAAACAAACTGTGAAAACAGGAAATCCATTTTAAAAAAAAGAAAATAAATAAACGTCCAATGATGTTGACGTGTTTTAAAATGTTCAGAGCAACATTAAGTGGGAAACGTCTCCCAAAACTGGGTTAATTGTCTCTTTTTAGGTCACAATCAAAAAAAAAAAGCAATTAACTTGGAAATTTCCCCAAAGAAAATTAAACAGCAGACGTCTATAAATTTACCGGAACTGGGTCAGTTTTAGTGGCTGTATGAACCCTGCTTCAGAGGAGAAACGATAAATGCATATCATTTTACTACCAGGAGTCCAAACAACACCAGAGCATCTCTGAGCCTGTACAGTACGTGCCGTGTACGGAGTGACGTAAGGCTGGCATTGTAGCGTTAACCGCTCATTGCAAGCGTTGAGTTAAAAGCAGTTATAAACGGCAACGATGATGGAGGCGGTGGGAAACACATATCACATTTTGGTAAATATACACAAGATGGACAAAAATAAAACCCTACTGTCATTTTAAACGAGCTCAAACATAAACATTTTATCAGCCGGCTGCAATTTCATACTAGCAGGAGCAATACGTAGAAATGTGCAAAAGATGCTAAATGTCGGCCGTTAACTTACATAAACACAGCATCTGTAAATGGCTTACCAATCGAAAAAATTTGAAATTATTCACAACTGCCACAAAAATGAAAAGTGACAAATGCCAGCTTCCTCTGCACCATCCGTCGATTTCGAACGGTTTGCATACAAAATGACCTAAAGCGCATGCGCAAGCCGTCTACCGCGCTGCCTTCAGGGTCGTCCCTAAACTGGGAAGAAAATCGAATTGTTCGGTTTCAGTTTTGTACTGATATGGAATATGGTGGATTATTTTTCATTGACAACCCATTAACGTAAAATCATCACAAAAAAAATCAATGCGGAATCAATAATTTTATTCAAAACAATTTTAACAATGAATTTGTTAAACAGTTACAGTAAAGTGACATCAAATTTACTCAGCTCATAAATATAAACACGTCCGACCTAATCGTGTAAGATTAAATGCTCGCCACTAGATGTCAGGATAGAGCCTAAAAACCCACTTTACAGGATGAACGTTATTTGAAGAACTGATTGACTAATCAGATTACACTGGGAGCATATTTGAGATTTGTATGAAGACATTTAAAGCAAATGTGATTCTTCTTGGCATTTCATTGCACATGAAATAGCAGAAATATGCCACAAAATGAGACAGAGTTTCTGGAATTTATAAAAATAGATAGACAATTAGAAAACAAAAGCAGATAAAAGGACAAATCTAATATATAATACATAACAAGTAAGATAGCGGAAAGAACAGCAAAAGGACATAAACTCTAATAGTTTAAAAGCTTGTGGCAGAAAGCTGTAGACGGCAGTGGAACAGATCCGAGGGACCAGGGATCTTCTCAGTTCCCTTCACCATCCTCTGCAGGGTCCTCTTGTCTGTATAATTTGTAAATATATATGCAATGTTACTGTAACGGTATGGTTTCAGAACCCTTTATTGTGAGATTTGCAGTTAAAGACATGAAAGTTTTCATATTTCCACTCTTTTTTTATTACACCCTTGTCCCTAATGGGGTCAGGAGGGCTGCTGCTGCCTGACTCCAGCAAACGTTTCAGGCAAGAGGCAGGGGACACAGTGGACAGGTTGCCAGTCTGTCACAGGGCAACACAGAGACAGACAGGACAAACTATGCGCACACACTCACACCTCGGGAGAATTTAGAGAGTCCATGTTTTTGGACTGTGGGAGGAAGATGGAGTATCAGGAGAGAATCCATGCATGCACAGGGAGAACATGCAAAGTCCATGTAGAAGGACCCCAGGATGGGAATCGAACCCAGGACCTTCCTGCTGCAGGGCAACAGTGCCACCAACTGCACCACTGTGCAGCCCAGTTTTCATATATGTTATTTTATTTGTAATAAATTTGCTGAGCATAAAAACATTCTAAACTATTAAAAATGCATTTGTAGTTATTTTTGTGCTTCTGCTGGGTGTCCATACTGTCAGCTACATATGCAAAGTCGCTAAATAAGCTATATATCTCTATATATCTCTATATATTCTTGTGTACATACATAGAAATATTTAGAATACATAAATAAATACTCCAGACAATGCAATTGGGCTGTTTGAGGTTATTTACACCAACACACCCAAAGTTATGCAAAAATAAAATGAGTAAAAATCCCTCAAAGAACCAATAACTGTTAATCCAGAATTAAAACGCCAATATTATTTAATTTTTATGTAATTGACCTCTCTAAGCAGTTAAACCTGTGTAGAACTGGGTGCATGGTTGGTGATACTATTATTAATCACTTAATGTATGCTGATGGCCTGGTGATTTTTAGACTAAATCCAGCTGGTCTTCAGAAGCTGCTCAATATCTGTTTCGCAAATGGTGAACTACATGTTAAAGTTAATCCATCAAAAAGTATCATCTTGATCCGTCGACAAAGGAGGACAAGTATGGGGTATTTCCTAACTTCAAGCTATCTGGGACTTTATTGAATGCATCAAATGAAGTAAAATATCTTGGTCATGTGTTGACCTACCGTTTTTCTGATGATGAGGACATTTACCATCAGGTTCGAATGCTATATGCTCAGGCAAACATCCTTGTCCGTAAGTTTGGATTCTGTTCTGATGAAGTGAAACTGAACTTGTTCAGATCTTAATGTACATCACTGTATACAGCACAACTAAAAAAAAAACAGTCTTCAAAGACTGAAAGTGGCTTCTAATGATGCATTTGTCGTGTAAACGAGTCTAATAATATAATTATTTTACTGTTAACGAATGTTAAATACAGTACAGTGAAATACTCATCTGTACTCTGGAGACACTGGTATGATTGTCTCCTGAACGGATAGTAGCTGTTTTTTCTTGTTTTGATGTACTTTTATTCTTTTATTGTTCTTTGTTTTTCTTTTTATTCCAGACTTTGAGTCTGGAATGTACATCAAAACATACGCTGCAGGTGTACACCAAGGCAGTCTTAGCTGCCTTGTCTGTAATAAAACTGATCTATCTAAATGTATCTATCTAAAACGTATTCCCTGTACCACATTAAAAATAAACATGAAGCCCACATCGCTGTCCTGTCCTTTTAAGACAACCCTCTCGTCTGTGGCTCCACCAATAGGAACAAGAATGCGCCACCTGTATGTAGTCGTTTGACCAATCAGCAAAGCCGCCCCCGTTTCCTCATTCGCCCTGCCTCTTTAAGTGCTGCACTGAACACCTTTATACCTCGTAACTAAATAGTTCTACACAAGTTTCTTCTTAATGAAGTTAGTTTGATGTCTTCTTGTTTTTTTAACTCGACAGTAATAAGATGGGCAGCGGACCCCGGTGTAGCTGGTAAGACTACCTCCTCTTCTGTTGGCTGTTTTCATCGAGAGCCTCCTCAGAGACAGCCTCAGGGGCCCCGGCTGCCGAAGTTTGAAGAGCCCCAAACAAAGTGACCCGAGCCAACTCGAAAGGCCGGTTTCTCGCGCCAGTCCAAAGAAATTACTACAGAGAGCAACATGGACCTGGACAAGTAAGACAAAGCCATTACCTCTCTCTCTCTCTCTCTCTCTCTCTCTCTCTCTCTCTCTCTCTCTCTCTCTCTCGCTCTCTTTTTTTTTTACACGCTGGTTTGAAATTTACGCATAGTAATAATAAACCCCATCAATATTTAGACAATTAAGCACAACTAGAACCTAGCTTAATGAGGAAAACAAGGAAACCCGCGTTATTTAAGCGCAACGTAAACATATTAGGAGATGTGTTGATTGCTGACCCTGTTTCTGATTCTAAATAATAGCATATGCTCAGATGAAGATGTTTTATGATTATTTTTTGAATATTGTGTGACAAAGATATGATTCACGGTCATAGTTTGCGTTCTTAGCCCGTCTGAAATGAGTCCTGTTCACCATATCAGACAGAAGTCTGGTGAGAAAACAGCCTGAGGCATGCCTGTTGGCTCCACAGACTGTTGTCCCGTGTTGACAGATTGACTTTGATCTGACACCCAACGCTCTCTGTCTCTTCCCACTTTCCAATCGTCTCAGCAGTAAACGGCTGGTGGTGGTGGTGCCCAATGAAATGTCGGTGGCCCCCCGCAGAGTGTTCAGCAACGAGGATGAGGCATGGAAGAACTACCTGGAGAACCCGCTGATCGCTGCCACCAAGGCCATGATGAGCATCAATGGAGATGAGGACAGTGTGGCAGCTCTGGGGCTGCTGTATGATTACTACAAGGTCAGAAAGGATGACTTTGCACACACACACATGCACACGCATACGCACACGCACGCACACACAAACATGGACACTCATACACACACACACACACACAAATCATTGTCGACTTCAGAAGGTCTCGACTGAACCACACACCACTCCTCGTTAACGACAAAGCAGTGGAGATCGTTAGCAGCACTAAGTTCCTGGGGGTTCACATTACAAACAACCTCAGCTGGACACCTTATATCACTTCACTGTATAAAAAGGCACAGCAGTGCTCCTACTTTCTAAGAATGAGAAGAGCTTCCCTCCCGCCTCCCATTCTCTCCACCTTCTACAGAGGAACCATCAAGAGCCTGCTGACCAGCAGCATCTCCATCTGGTCTGGGAACTGCAAGGCCTCAGACTGGAAGTCTCTGCAAAGAGTGGTGAAGCAGTTCAGATCCTCTCTGACTCCACTCATCCCCTCCATGGTTTGTTCATCCGGTTGGCTTCTGGCAGGAGATTCCGTAGCATCCTGCAGAACAGCCAGACTCAGAAATAGCTGTCTGACTGGCCATCAGACTGCTCAACAATCCCATCACTAAAACTGTCTAAGACCGCTTGAAAATATTAAGTTGTATATATTTAGCGACATATTACTATTTGCTTATTATGTAATTAAAGGCACACTTGTGTTTCTGTGTGTGCTCCGGTGGCCAATCGATAATATTTAATTGCCAATTTTACTTATGTTTCTTTGAGCAATGACAATAAAGTAAGACTAAGTCTAATTTTTTTCCCTCTTCTGTCCTGTGTGGAGCTCAGTAATGAGTTCAGGTTTTAGTTCTTATCTTTTCTGTTGCCTTAAATCCGTTCAGGTTCCTAGAGAGAGAAAGCGCTCGTTCGGAGGTGTCCCACCCCTGGATCCCTCCGAAGCCTACGGCGGCCCAGACGTCCTGGATCACCACAGTCAGGCCCTGAGGTCCATGCCGGTGAACCTCTCTCTGAACGGCTCCACGGCAGAACACCACGGCTCCAAGCGTGCCGCTGCCGCCGTTGCCTCCGATACCAGAGGAGGAGACAGTAAAGGCGGTGGCTGTGCGCCTCTCGCCCTGGTGAAAACGGAGAGCCAGGCGTCCACCCCGGTTTTAAGTTCCCACCTGGAGGAACCCAGAGAGCAGCAGAAGATGCTTTATGAGCAGAGCTGCTACGACTTGTCGCTCTCTGGGTACCAAAAGGAGGAGCAGAGCAGCCCTCCGGACAGCACGCATGAGGAACGCATGGTGGAAGAGGTCAGGTGCCGCATCCTGCATACGAGTTCTGTGTTCCCCGTCTTCTGCTCGACTTTCCGGGTTTTCTTTAAAACACACTTGTTTTCTTTGTTCCAGATTTATCACAGAAATCGATCTTCACGAGTCGACGTGTCCTTCCATCAACTACCAATGTAAGACTTTATGTTCACATAAAGATAGGCTTGTCACGATGAGAAAAATTACTGGGTGGTAAAATTATTCTCATCCTCACAATGGAAATGATCAAGCTAATTAGAATTCACTATGAGATTGATTAATTAATTAATTAATTAGTTGATTAATTGCTCATTTTCATTATAGTATCATTTCCAGTATAGTTTCAGGACATGATACTGCCAGGGAGCAGAGAGGGGCTCAAATGATTAGTCGTGATGAAATAATTGTCAACTAACTTAGCAATCGGTTAATCGTTACCTGGAGAATACAGACTAAAAAAAAAAAGAAATTTTCTGAAAGAACAGCACAGTCAGAGCAGTATTTAAGTTAAAGTTGTACACAAAATATTCACATTCTCAAGTTACAAAAAACCCTTTTACTGTAAAAAATATATATAAATGTCCTCCTCATGTGGGAGTTTCAGCTTCAAACTCTGTTTAAAATAAATTCTCCTATTAACCACCTTTTGCGGTCAAAATATGAATCTGTTAATCCAAACCATAAACACCAGATCAGTTCCTCACTGTATTGACGTCCAGGTCTGAACTTATCTTGTTTCTATCTGCAAGTTCATCCTTTGCTACCAATGATCTTGTTCATTAAAGAAAAGCTGCATTATTGCATTTTGGGTAATTTTCTCATTCAAAAAATTAATAAATTATTTGTTTGTTTGTGTCTTTTTAATGTATTTCTAATATTGTCCAAAAAGACTTAAGTGGCCAAATGGAAAAATCTGCTGACTGTGCCAAGTTTTAAAATCTGATTAATTGATGGAATAACAGATTACTAAATCGGTTAGCTTCAGCTCCCAGTCACAATGTTTTAGAAGTTACCTCACTATTTTAGTGTTGTTTTAGCTGCAGATTTATCCTTTGCTACAAGCGACGCAGGCGTTCACTAACGGAATGCCGCTGCTACGTTTTAGGCAATAAAATCTTTATTTTCTCATTTTTAGAAGAGGAATTGTTTATTTCCATCTTTTGATGTTTTTCTAACACCTTATAAAAAGGCTTGAGTGGTGAAATGAAAAATCTGCAGAATGTTTTTTTTTATTTTCATATTAATCATCTGAATAATTAGAATAGCAAATTGCTAATCTTTAGCGTCAGGATTAGAATGGAATACGAACCACATGATACAAATTATTAGTAAAAATCTTTCCACATATTCACTACCTTGACTTGTTCTTTGCATGAAAACTTGTGGGTATATTTTGACAAAACACTTTAAGGATTTGAGAACTCAATGTCTTGCAGTGACTGCTTCTCCTACAGCCTGGAGGCCAACATGTCGCTGCGGCCGCGCCAAGGAGAGGGCCCCATGGCCTACCTGAACCGGGGCCAGTTCTACGCCTTGTCTCTGTCCGACAGCGGCTACAGGTCGGCCCACTGTCTGTCCGGGGGCCGAGCGTCCGGCGGCGAGCGGCACGCCTCCCAGGGAAGCTCCGACCTGCAGCGGGACACCGTGGTGCAGGTGAGGGATCCTGGGAGTCCCGGCTAAAAGCCGCACGCGCTCGGCCCTCGTAACGCTGCGTGACTGTGCTTCGTCACGCAGAGTGTGATCATGGTGGTGTTTGGGGAAGACAAGTCCAGAGACGACCAGCTAAAGAACTGGAAGTACTGGCATTCCAGACAACATACTGCAAAACAAAGGGTACTGGATATTGGTAAGAGGATTTTAAAAAATCGTTTTACATATATATAATTTTTTTTATTTTTTATTTTTACACAGATTACCTTTAGCTGTTACTCTCAGGAACTGCTAACTTTTCCCCCTTACTCTACAAGAAAAACAAGGCGGGACACCTGACGGAGAATCCCTCCACCTGCTGTGCTGTAAAACCGGATTAGATTTGAATAACAGTTGATGTTCGATTCCCACAGGAGTCATGTGAACAGCCAGTGGGGCTGCATTTGCATAGACGTTATGGAGAAATGAGTGCAAGCCTGGATTGCGGCCATATCCTGTATGATCATTCAAGAGGCAGGCCTCAACCTGCGGCCTAAATACTCAGGAATGAACACGATCTGTCATCCACTAGTGGGTTTTACTGTGTGGGGCAAGTTCACGCCGCTAACATTGCTGGCATGGACTTGCTGCACAGTGGATAAGAGTGGAAATGAATGCGTGACTGGGCTGTGAAGAGATGATTTTTAAAATTTATTCTTAGTTGGAAATCGGATTTAAGAAGTGAAAATATTTGCGCATCTGATTTTGATTTACTCAGAGATACGGGATAAGATATCCCCTTATCTTACCACGTGGGTAAGATAAGGGGAATAGAAGAGGGAAAAAAACGTGTTGAACTCATAAACTCTGATTTAGAGATTCAGATTGTTTTGGCCGGACTGCTAAACGACCAGAGGTCAGGGAAGTTCAGCAGGTTCATTTATTCAAATATTAAGTCCCGATATATTTGGATTATTTTGTCTGTAGAACTGGTGAAAATGAATGTTTTCAGTTAAACAATGTGTTTGTAATATGTGGAATTTTGAAAGACAAAAAAGTACGGTGGCCCTGAGGTGCAAAACACTACAACATTAAGGAAAGCACTACAACATTAACGAAAACACGACATTAACAAAAACACGACAACATTAACGAAAAACACGACAACATTAAGAAAACACAACATTAAGAAAAACACAACAACATTAAGAAAAACACAACATTAAGAAAAACACGACAACATTAAAAAACACGACAACATTAAGAAAAACAACAACATTAAGAAAACACACAACATTAAGAAAAACACAACACAACAAAAACACGACAACATTAACGAAAAACACTACATTAACGAAAACACAACATTAACAAAAACACGACAACATTAAGAAAACACAACATTAAAAAAACACACAACAAAAACACAACAACATTAACGAAAAGCACTACAACATTAAGGAAAACACAACGGAAGAGGTAGGTCCCAGTGGGAGACCTAAGAAGTCGCTGATTGGACGACAGGTCGTTTTACTTTTGAACCGGAAGTTATTCTGGCTTTAACTTGATTGCTGAAAACAAGAATGTTCTCAGTGATCCAAACCTTAGTACTGTTATTCGTAAATATTTTGAGTCAGGACATACTTACGAGGTGATACTGGACATGCTCCAGACCAACCACGAAGTGTCGGTTAGCATGCGTTCAGTAAAGACTCATTTGAAAGTAGCAGGGCTGCATTGAAGAGGCAACTACTCTCCACTTCCTGAAGTGAGACGTGTCATTATGTCCGAGCTTAGAGGACCAGGGCAATTATTTGGCTATCGGACCATGTGGCAGTTCTCAAACTAAAACACAACCTGCGTGTCAAACGTGATGTTGTAATGAGACTGCTGAGGCAGCTGAATCCTCAAGGCATCGCTCTGAGAACTCGCAGGTTTACAAGACGCACGTATCCCTCCACGTGGCCCAATTACATATAGCATGTAGATGGCTACGACAAAACAAGCCATTCGGCTTGGCCATCTCAGGGTGCATTGATGGTTTTTCGAGAAGGATAATGTGATTAAGACAGCTGTGGAAAGATAGTTTAAATCCCAAGGCCACTTACCTTTGAGAAATGAAGAGAACATTTTCCTGGTAAATTAATTGGTTCCCATGTTTTGGAAGGGACACATTATTTCAGGTGGCTAAAATATGGTTCCCCCTCATATCTCTGGCAAATAAAGAGCAAATGTTTTCAAATAATTTGTTGTTGATGAAGAGATGAATAAGCACAGTTGAAGACTTGTTGGTAAATAGTCCCCATGTTTTGAAGGGGGAACAGATTATTTTAGTCACCTAAAATATATGGTTCCCTCATCATAACTCTGGCACACAAGGAGCAAATTCTACCAAAATCACAGGAGTTATTGTTGATGATGAGTGGAATAAACAGAGAAAAAAATCTTGCTGGTAAATTAAGTTGTTCCCATATTATGGAGGGGGACCAGATTATAATTTCCTCCATTCTTTCTACCCTTACCGAACCTTGGGGAATAAAGAACAACTGTTTCCAAATTCTCAAAAATCTTTACATACACACTACGTGTTGGGAAAACTGTGTTTGGTGCCTGACTTATTTCTGCCAGGCTTACGTGAGAAACGTTGGAAAAAGAGCGATTCTCTTGGCGTATAAAATAACAAAAACAGCATCAGAAGATCTTGTTTATTTATTTATTATACAATTTTTTAAACAACAGCTGCCAATTAAACTCAATGTTACAACCTTCACATGATTATATGAGTTGTTTTACCGAGAAATCGATCAGAAGCGACGTGAAAATGGTCAGATCCGCCTCATTCGTCTCTCTGGCTGTAATGATCGCTCCCGACACAGGGGAACCGAATTTAGCACCTACTACCCGAACTTTCATTTCTACCTTTTGTCTTAACCCCTTTCTCCCAAGAGAATACTTTGGTCGCTCCTCATTTTTCTATTCAAGGAAGGTGCTGAGGGCTGGTGTACGGCAGGATGGGACAGTCTGTTGTGCTAGAAGTAAAGCAAAGAAAAAATGTCGCACATCACATTCATGCAAACAGACGATATGTATTACGAACTGAAGTAAAGCTGCCACAAGTATAAATTAAGTGCGAGTTCGCTTCCAAAAGGCGGCTAGCCTGATCGCAGTGCAGCAGAACCAGAACGACACCAATTATCCTAAAACAGTAGTGCCTAAGGCTGTAACGGACCTTACGATATATAGCTAATACAATTCTGCTGTATTATAGCGACTTTGTGTACTTTTAATTGCATTTATAATGAACAACTAGATGACAGTGGACACGGTCTGGAGACCACTAGCGTTAGCAAGTTACTACATCCATAAGAAATATGAATCTTCCTTTATACTTTTAACTTACTTGAACATTGTGGAGTATCCTCCATACAAGTTTCTTGAAGCCTCTTGCCACAATTACTGCAAAAATTTGGTGACGGCTCAACCACCTCCTTTCCACAGTTCGGGCAATACATGGCGAAGTGACTGTATTCCCGCTTCCTTAGGTTTTCAATCAAACGAAGCACTCCAGCATAACTTCCGGTTCAAAAGTAAAACGACCTGTCGTCCAATCAGCGACTTCTTAGGTCTCCCACTGGGACCTACCTCTTCCGTTGTGTTTTCCTTAATGTTGTAGTGCTTTCGTTAATGTTGTTGTGTTTTTGTTAATGTTGTTGTGTTTTCGTTAATGTTGTTGTGTTTTTGTTAATGTTGTTGTGTTTTTGTTAATGTTGTAGTGTTTTGCATCTCAGGGCCACTGTAAAAAAGGGATCTGGTTTATACTACATGATGTCACCACCATATTGTCTCATCGATGAAATAAAGTGTTGACATTAAGTTATTAAGTTATACAGGTGCTGTACAACTTAATCTTCCCATTAACCCACAAAACCATTTGAAATATTCCAGTTAATCAGTTTGACTTTAAACAAGCTGTAAAATAGGACGTTCTCCTCCTTCACTATTCACTGTCGCCAACGTGGCTGCTATCGGTCTGGCAAGGAAAAAAAAAAGAATAAAGTTTGATATCAACTGATACTGATTTCCATCTTGTTGCTGTTTGTTTTTCGGGGATTGGTCATTTGGTGTTTGTTTGGTCATATGACCGTGGAGTGTTGAACTCCAGCAGTGTCAGTGTGTTGGTGATTTTACAGTGTTGAAAGGGCAGGAAAATATATGTGTATCTAAATCTTACTATATCTATCTCTGTGTGTGTAAACATGTGTAAAGTTCTATATATAAATATAAAGGTGTATCTCTGTCATCGGTCATAACAGCAATATTAATATGGCATATTGGTATCGACTCAAAGTTTTACATTATTGCATCCTTAATGTCCAGGACAGTTTTTTGCACAACATTTCAAAATTAAGGTTTTAAATCATAATCTTAACCCCGTCTGAAACCGTTCTCTCGTGTTTCTTGTCTTTGCATCCAGCTGACTACAAGGAGAGCTTCAGCACCATCGGGAACGTGGAGGAAATCGCCTACAACGCCGTGTCTTTCACCTGGGACGTGAGCGAAGAAGCCAAGGTAAGAACCAACAGCAGCAGAGGCATGCTGGGATTTGAAGTTTTCAGAACCCGGCCGATCACCGCGACGACATGCAGTCCAGTATGTCCGTCCATCAGATCTCGCATGAAGCACAGATCCATTTTCACGTCCATTCATTATGTTGAGCTTATTGTAGAGCATGTAAAAAAATAGTTTCACTTGGATGAAGACAGAAGCCATATTTGCAGGAAGTCTGCGGCCAGCAGCAGTGACCCTGCTGTCTCACACTCGGGCCGAGCATCACTCTTTAAACGGCTGTACAGAAACCCAGGCTGGTAATTGCGGCTTTGCAGGTTTGACTGTAAATATTTACGGTTTGCCACAGGCCTTCTGTGTGCTCTGTTGGTTTTGGGCAGGTTTCCGCTGCAGCGCTCCCCTCATGTGTTCACTGTACCGTGTTCTTCTACTGCTTAGAGAACATGATTGCACAAGTGGTTCCATCTGAGACAGGATAGTTTAATTAGCAGCATCTTTTAATTTGTATTATAACTGAATAAAAAAATCAGCTACAGCTGAAACCAGAAGTTTAGATACCCTGAATAACAAGACAGTTTTTTTTCTCATTAGACTAAACTTCTCTTGTTTTAAATCAGTTAGAATGAGCAGAATTATTTCTGTTTGCTAATTGCCACAATAATGAAAAAAAGAGTATATCAGAGATTTATATATTAATGTCTTCAAAATCAGTATTTTCTAGCACTGCTGCTGAATAATATGGATTTTGCTCAAACCTTCCTGTGTTAACTTACAAACAGTGATTGTTTTTTTTTTTTGTCAATTTCTTTGGAGTAACGACTTCTTCGTTGCTGAGTGGCCTTTCTGCCTGTGATGCTGCAGAAAACGTTTCATTCTGGATGCTGAATGTTACACAAAGTTTTGACTTTTATTTTGGGGGTGATTTGGACATTTTGGACCAGAATCCGTTCATTTCTGGAACACAGAATCCTGGTCCTTCCTGAGCGGCATGATAGTTGTGTCTGTGTGTAATGTTTCAATGCAGCTTTACTTCAAGCATCGCTAAATTGTTCTCAGGATGCATCAGATGAGTGCAGCGCATCAGTTCTCTTCCTGAAATTTCTTTTGACTTTCCCATCATGTGAACCGTTGAAGCGGTGTGTTCCAGGTGTGTTCCTGGTGTGTTCCAGGTGTGTTCCTGGTGTGTTCCTGGTGTGTTCCAGGTGTGTTCCTGGTGTGTTCCAGGTGTGTTCCTGGTGTGTTCCAGGTGTGTTCCAGGTGTGTTCCTGGTGTGTTCCAGGTGTGTTCCAGGTGTGGCCACTGTGTGTCGCTTTGGATGTGGCCTCATTATCTTTATTGCGTTGAAGGCTGTGAAATTCACCATGATGACTGTGTTGGGATGGAATGAGTTAGGGCTCTTTGTATTTTTTTTTTTTTATTCCTTATTTTCTGAATAATATTACATAATTAAAACACGCATTTTCACACACACGCGCACGGGCGGGGAAACTGTGACTGGCTTGGGTCGGTGGAGGTGGGAATCGGCGGTGCTGCGTAGGAGGCCCATTTGCGCTTTAGGCTTTCACAGAAATCAACCCTCACCTCTGCAGGTTGGGGCACGACGCTGTTGATACAGCGCAGTGGGAAACTGTTTGCTGAGCCGCGGTGAGAGCTCACCTAACCGTTATCCGTCTCCGCCGACCTGTTTGCTCAAGCCGCCCGTCCCGTTTTACCGGAAAAATCTACAGGTGTTTGTGTTAGGTTTATATGATTTGGCATCAGTCATGAGAATATGTTCCTGGATGTAGCTATATTTGGAGGAGTGTTTACACTGTACTCTGCCCCTCTGTGATTTTTCTTCTTTCTTTCTGGGTGTGGTTTGAGTTTTAGAAGTTGAACCAACATGTTGATTTTATTTGAAGTCTAGGCCTCCATCTACCTCCCCAAAAATGTGAGATTCATGTGAAGTGGGGCTTGCCTGAGATTCATGTGAAGTGGGGCTTGTCTGAGATTCATGTGAAGTGGGGCTTGTCTGAGATTCATGTGAAGTGGGGCTTGTCTGAGATTCATGTGAAGTGGGGCTTGTCTGAGATTCATGTGAAGTGGGGCTTGTTCATTAAGTGAACTGTTCCTGTTCACTTAATGACACTGTGACCTTCTGTCATCACTGTGCACTAAATCACAGTGATGAACAACCGATTTCTTTGTCGACGACTGAAAAAAAATCCCTCTGCTTTTATCAATAGAATATAACTTTGTTTCTATAACTGCCAGCAGAGTATTGGTTAAAAACCTGATTCTAACAGTAACTTCTCTCTTTAGTTGTTTGCTTCATGAGTTTGTTGCAGAGAATTTTTGGAACTAGTTTATTTAAAACATTGCTGCAACATGTTGAAGTTTGAACATGTGTCAAACTGAGTCAAATCCAGACACAGTTTGAGATCTGGGTTTTGACTAGACCTTGATTTCTTTGAAAATTTTTTACTGTAGTAATTAACCTGCTGATGTGCCAGTTTTGTGACTTTACTCTAATTTGACCAGAGAAAACAAAGTTTCTAGGTTCTCAGGAAACTTTTTTTTTCTAGTCCTCAAACTTGTCGATGCTTACACACACCTCACACTCGACCTTTCACAGACGCTTTACTGCTTTCTTCTATTTCTTTAAGCCTGATGTAAGCCGTTGATACATTACAAGACTGCTTTTTTTTTTTTTTAATGATTAGAGGTTTACGTGAACAGACTGTTCTTGCTTCAAGACTTGAGGGGAACAAAACAATAGAATATATTAATATATTCAGGTTCTCTTCATGTCACTTTGGAAGCAGTGGTGGAAAATAGACTCAGGAATTTGATTTGGTCTCCACCAAACATGACGGAGCATAAAAAGTGCAAAGAAATATTAAATGGTTGAATCTGCCTCCCTTGCTTTGGGTGTGCTAAGTGTGCAGCATCACACTCAAAGAAACCTGAGGTTGCAATTGCTGCCTTGGTGGATCAACAAAAGGCAAAGGTCAAAAGTTATGTCTTGGTTTTCTGTTATTAATAAATTTGCTAAACAGTCATGTTTTGCAAATTTGACTGCTTTTCTTCTGCTTTACCGTAATAGGGCATGTAAGTGTAGAATTTTAGATTAATTAGATATAATTTGGAATAACGTAGCAAGATATGGAAAAAGTGCAGCGATGTGAGAACTTTCTGGATGATATGAGTGTAATAAGGGAGCTGCCTCATCCTTCACTGACTTTTCTTTTCTTTTTTTTTTTAGATCTTATTTATAAGACTGATCAAACCTAAACTCATGAACACCATCACTACAATGTAGTGTACGCTAACTGTCAGATCAGCTACTCTGTGACCTCATCGTATCCCAATATGACTTCAGGGATTATTATGGAGCTCTTGGGGGTTTTTAGCAGTTTCTCCAAACAATGCTGCAGGGAACGTTCTGGAACGTTCACTCTTTGGAAGACCGGCTGCTGCTCCTAGATTAATGATGGTGAGCAGCAGTTGCTACACTAATGGCATTGCAGAAGTCTTTACATGTTGGGGGTTATGTTGACACTCACCTAGCAACTGTCAAAACTTCACTTTTTTTTGAAACGGAGGCGGTTTGTGGCATGAATTACAGTACCTGGTCGTCTGCTGCGTTAGCTTTTAGATTCGAGGGAAGGGTGTTGGCGCAGTCATGGGGAACAACTGTGATGGACTAGCAGTCATGGAAATGTGGTTTCCCCCGCCCTCCTTGTCTGTAGTTGGCAGAATAACTTTTATTAAGAGGGAGCGACCCAAGCGGCCTATGCAGTCCCTACACCGGTGGAACAGATGAATGTTTCTTTCTTTCTTTGGGAGGAAGAAAGAAACTCCTGTCACATCCCACTCATCCTGCTGGCTCTCCAACATGTCTAGACACGGACCGTGGATTTCTTCTCACTTTCCTTTTCTTTTTACCTGCATACCAAGTATAAACAGGGAGGTGTTTACCGAGAGAGCTCAAACATAGTCAACCAGGTGGTTTTTATCTGATCAAGTGTGGGGAAGCGGTACTTACGGGAGGACTAAGACTGTGATGGCACATGTTGGCAGGCTTTAAGGCCAACATGTAAGGAGCTGCAGGTGTGAGTCAGATGTGTTAAAGGTTGGTCAGATGAGGTATTCTTGGAAGAGATGAGTCTCTGGTACATTCTTGACAGGAGCGAGACCGCCGTTGTGACATTGACGACGTCGGAATTGAGAACCGGTTCTCAGTCATCTCACCATTGTAAAGAACGGTCAAAAAAATCCTCCTGAAAACTCAAACACAACGTTCAAAGAAGAAGAAAAACGGTCTACATGCTGCTTTCCATGTTAACTCGGCTTACAGAGGGAAAGCGTTTGTCCCTGAGGTAAGAGTCCAGAAGGAATCATCTAATTTGAATGTATGTTGACACACATCAAGGCCATCAAATCAATCTGGACTTGCATGATGAGCTGCTACACCCAGAATGAGCACCAGGGGGCATAATGGTGAAGCCATTAGGTTACCTTCAGGAAGTTGATCTTAACACAGAGGGATTAGTACTTTCAAAATAGAAGCCTACCACAAACAAACTTCTTTTCAGCCAGGGTCTTGTGTCCTTCAGCCCAGTGTGAGAGACGTTCGTCTCTCCATCTTATCAATGTAACCTGCTTTTCAACAAGAGTTGTGAACATGTGTGGAGCTGTGACTCACAGGCTGTGATTGTGATCTGGGTTTACTCAGGCAAGGTTGTGACAGCAATCAGGTATGTCCATCATAAACATCAGGAAGTGTCAAGATCATCTTTTTAGATGATCTAGTTTAAATAAACACAGTTCTGACTCGGGCCGCACGATCGCCACTGGAATTATGTCACAGGGAAAACATGAAGTTAGAGGCTGAAATATGCAAAATTGGAGAACAGTAGGAGAATGTAGCATAATGAGGAAAAGTGGTCAGTCTTCTGCAGCATACATCTATAAGCTTTTATCAAAAAAGGAAAGTTTTAAGCCTGGTTGTGAAAGTAGACCGGGTGTCTGCCTCATGGACTAAAACTGGGAGTCTGAGAACAAAAGGATCCGTCTCCCATTCTACCTTTAGAAGCTCTAGGAACCAGCAGAAACCCGCAGTATGAGAGCGAAGTGCTCTGATAGGAACATACAATCACATCTCTGATGTATGATGGAGGTGATTATTAAGGGCTTTGCATGCAAGATGGAAAATCATGGATTCAATAGGGAGCCAATGAAGGGAAGCTAAAAGAGGGAAAAAAAATCAGTTTAAGGTGTTTTTATTTTTATTTTTTTGTCTTTCCGTCCTGCAGGTCTATATCTCTGTCAACTGTCTGAGCACAGACTTCTCGTCTCAGAAGGGAGTGAAGGGCATGCCTCTGATAATCCAGATCGACACCTACAGCTACAACAGCTGCAGCAGCCGGCCCGTCCACAGGGCCTTCGCTCAGATCAAGGTCTTCTGTGACAAGGTGAGGAGGTCAAAGGCAACGGGAGCCGTCTGCTCAGCGAGGCTGACTGGACCCGGGTGGATCTGTTCTTTTTAATTGCCGTTTTCCCTTTTCCCCCATTCTGTCCCCCCATCTGCAGGGAGCTGAGAGGAAGCTACGCGATGAGGAGAAGAAGCAACTAAGGAGGAGGATAAAAGGTGATGCATGCTGTTTAGTTCTTTCTAAACATTAACTAACTTAAACTAATTTGATGTAAAATGATGTTAGCAAGCGTTTTCTTTTATGGAAGCAAATGTTTGAACTATACCGGTTTTAGGCAGTATTACCTAAAACCGACTTTTTTGAGCTTTACGTCATGTTGTAATTTTATCCCCTCTTCAAAAACATGCTTTTCATTCTTTCCTGCGTGTTTGAGAAATCCTTTCATCTCCATGGCAAAATGCTGAATGGCGTCTCGAAGGCGGTGCAGCTCCTCGTCTGAGCTTCTGCCTCACAGAGCAGCACTCACCCAGGATTCCTCCACTCAGACCCTTCAGACTAGTCAGCAGCAATTAGCAAACACCTGTCAGAACTGCACATCTGCTGAGCTCATTGTAGACAGACACAGGAATGTGACGGCGAGGTCTGAAGCTGGCAGGTTTTATGATCAGCACTGCTAAATGGTTGCAAATGTGGATCGTAAACCGTCTTCTCTGTTGAAAGAAATGGTGTTTCTCTCTTAAACAGCAGTTGATGATCCTTCAGCTTCGGGCACTTCTCAGTGCAATGCTGGTAAAAACCTCTAAGGGTGCGATCACTTAAGAAAGACAGAACAAGGATTTTTAAAGAGACAGAGACCCAGTTTCAAGGCGTTAAATTACAAAGTCAAAAATGTTTTAAGTCATATTTGACTTTTTATAACAGGTGAAAGTAACATAGTTACTTATTAGAGACTCATAGCTCAATGAGTCTTAAAAACACATTCCTGCCCCTTTAAGAGTTTGCTTAAAAACATGCTGAGCGCTCTCTCTCTCTCTCTCTCTCTCTCTTAATTAGGAAAGAACAGCAGCTTGGGGTCGAGCTCCCCCATGAGGAAGGCTGAAAGTACGCTGTTCAAAAGCATACTGGACCTGGATTCCCAGCCGGTCCTGTTCATCCCTGATGTCCACTTCGGGAACCTGCAGAGAGCGGGGCAGGTGAGGATCCAGTCGGTTCGCTGACACATCCGGCGTGACGCTCGCCGCCTCCGTCCGGCCGAGCGCCTCTCACTTCTTTCTGGCGCTTCCTGCAGGTGTTTGCCGTCAGCACCGACGAGGTTCTTGTGGAGAGGTGAGCATCGCTGGTTCTGTTTGACGTCCTGCCTGCTGCGGCTCAGTACGACACAGAGGGTTTGTGTTCGACCGTTGAGATGTGTTGTCCTGAAACGTGGTGCGACAGGAGAGACTTTGGAAACAAAACCATTTGTCTGCGTCCTAAACGACTGATTTTCAACTGAAGTATTGATATTCTGGGCTGTTTGTCTGTTCATGCGTTCATCAGAGGGCTTCCTAAGAAGACGATGCCAAGTCAGGAAGAGATCTGCCCACCGCAGCCCAAGAAGTCCAGAGTGGAGCCTGAACGGAAAGGTGAATTTTTCTAATCCCGGCCAGATTCTTGTTTTTGTTTCCAAATATGGATTGTAGTTTATTCCAGGTGTAAAATGTTTTGCTTTGCTCCTTCTGTTCTAGTTCTGCTGTATGTGAGGAAGGAGTGTGACGAGGTGTTTGATGCCTTAATGCTGCACGCCCCAACCCTCAGAGCGCTGATGGAGGCGGTGAGCCATCTGCCTTTTCATGTTCAATGGTTGAAACGTGAAATGCTTCATCTGCACCTGGAATACTTTTCACATTTCTTTTTTCTTTTACTTTATCTTCATAGATTTCTGAGAAATACACAGTGCCCGTTGAGAAGATCGCTAAAGTTTATCAGAAAAGCAAAAAAGGGTGAGAAAGCTCACAGACACAAGACGTCCGGTTGATGACATGTGGAAAACCACAGGGATGTCCCGGCTTTCGCTTGGAAAGCAAAATACGTACTAATGCAAAATACACTTAAGGTTGCTTTCAAACATTTTGATAAGGTCAATATATATAAAGGCATAACCAGGAAGTAAGGTATTAGCTATAACCCTGGCTCTGTGTTCTTCAGTCTCTTCTGTTTTTAACAGCATTCCTTGTTTTTATGAACCACAGGGTCCTGGTGAACATGGACAACAACATCATCCAGCACTACTCCAACGAGGACACCTTCATCCTGGCCTTGGAGAGCTCAGCCGACTCGTTTCACGTCACCCTGTCAGAAATCTGACCTCCGTCAGCCTCAGCGCGGGATTCAGTCGTTACATTATACGGACGGAGAAGATGCCTGCCGAGTGAGGCAGTAGAACTGGGTAGACACTCGCAAGCATCGCAGGTAACCGTTAATAACGGCACCGAGCGGGGTTCCCTGAACGCCACGCGGCAGTCTTACCAAGGCAGCCTGGTTAAGAGGTTTTTTTTACACAAAGAGCCAAAATGTGCGATATTATGTGGATGTTACCTGGTAGCAGTCGCTTGCTGAACAGTTTTTTTTTTTATTTTATTCCGTTGGAGCTGATGACATTCCAGATCCACATAAAGCAACATGCTGGTTTGCTGAGGTTCCAGGATGAACACAATAAAGATCTGCTGTTGGCGCCTCGTCTGCTTCCTGACTCGCCCAAAATCAGTGCAGGTTGATGTGATCTGGCATTATTCATGGTACAGGCAGATTTTCTGTTTACTGCTGAACATTATTCCTCTAGAAAGTCGTTTCTATGTTTTTCCTTGTTTTTTTTTTTAACTGACTTTTTTCAGATTGTTGCATTTTTTTGGTATGTCAAAAGTTTGCATGCGAGTTGTAAATAGTTGTAAATTTTAAATGCCATGGAAGCACTAAAGTGTTTTTTTCTGGGTTCTTTCCAACATTATTTATGATATTTGCTCCAAACTGAAGAGGTTTATACAACTTTGAGATTTCACATCAGAGCTTTACTTTCCTCTACTTTTAACTATACTGTCAATGATATTTTGTGTCAACTTATGTGTCATTCTGTCTTTAGCACCATGATGTACAGTCTTATTCGTGAATCATTCAATATAGTTTTATATGCAGAAGTCTGTGTGTCTGTTTGGTTGCAAGAAAATCTAAATGTTGAGGACGAAGTCACTTCTGGAGGTTTTAAAATTGTGTTTTTGCAAGAAAAAAGTTTTTATCTAAGCCTTGAAGTTTTGCACTTCTTTTCATTTGTCTAGTTAAGGATTGGAGCAGCATATAAATATGAAAAGCTGCTGACGGTGCAGCATTTCTGTTGCGCAGGTCAAAGGTCGCACGAGAGGTGAAAAACACATTAAATGATCTTGGTCTAATTTTTCTACATGATAAAAGCGACATTTTAACAAAGACCCTTTGGTTTTTCCCGTCCAACGCGAGACAGAATTTAAATGAACCACACACACACCACATGAATACGTCGTGCACGCAGTATGCCATGGATTTAATGCTCGCCTTTTAATAGACCAAAAAATAAGAGAATCCTGTGTTTCAAAACATCAAGTCACTAAAATACAGGATACCTTACAAAACCTACAAAATTCAACTATTACAAACATTTTTGTTCAACATATAACCATTCTATAGTAGAAATTTATACAATACTGTTTTGTTTTCATTTGGCACTTGATCACAATTCGCGAATTTGTTTGACAGAAATATTACACCTCATTTTTCCTCTCTCCTTTTATAAGAAAAGCTTCTTCGTGTACATTTATTTAAAAAAACAGTAAAAGCGACACATTGTGACAGCATCGCTGGGGTGGTTGGGATTCTCTGTTGGTCTTTAGCATTTTTCTGAACATTCAAAGCTTCTCGTTGCTCGGTTACATTCGCGGGGCGGATCCGGCTCGGGCTGCAGTCTCTCTCTCTCTCTCTCTCTTCTCTTTCTCTCTCCCTCCCTCCTCCGGCACGAAGCCGAGCGAGGAGGCGGAAAAACCCGAGCGAATCCTCCCACGCGCGTCCGCCGGCACGCGCTCGATGTTTGACCCGACAGCCCGCCGTTTCGTTCCGCTGCCAGTTTGAGTGTCGATGAACTTTACAGTTATAAACACACATGCGCTTAAGTCACATGCAAACGTGTGGCGTTAGTTCACGCGCCTGTAGACCCGACGACTACATGCAGCATTTCATGAAACACGTTAAGAGCGCGCGAGGCCTCGCTTTTTTAGTCGAAATAAAAGAATCTGGTCCGCATGCTTGATATCTGGCGACATTTAAATAAACATCTTCTATTATTATTATTTTTATTATTATTATTTCACCACAACTGTGTTCGGAAGAGAACGTTCTGGACTACATGGAACTGCTCAATGAGCTTTAAACAAATACCTACTCTACACTGTTAGGACTAAAGTGTGTTGTGTGAGAAGCTGGAGCACAGCAGCACTTCCTGTGCTCTCACTTCCGTCATTTCAAAATAAAACACAAGAGGACCAGACGCAGGGAGAGGGACGCTCGTCACAAAGTCTAAGTACGGATCCAGGAGCGTATGCATAGTAGCATAATGTTACGCGACGCGTCCGTTCCAGCACGATATATAAAACAAACAGTCTATCAAGTTTACAAAAAAAAAAAAAAAAACCTGGAACGAAACAAAAACACGTCTTACAGTAGAAAAGAAGAAAATGAAATGGGGACTCGTCGTGAGCGAAGGACAGACTTCACAGGTCCTCTCTTGCTCACCTGCAGCGCCTGCTGTCTCTCCCTCTCTCTTCTGCACGCGCTCAGTCTGTCACGCGCGGCGCTCTGTGTGGGCCTAACTGGAAGATTTGAGAGAACAGTGAGCCAAGCAAAGACACTGACACAGAGACTCCAGTTTACACTGCATATATACACACACCCTACGGTGAACCGTCTCCACTCTAACAGGCCTACAGGAGAACTGAGGAGGAGTTACAGTCAGAAAGGGGCCGGAGGTGATGGTGGTCTCCAGGATTTTGCCTGGATTTCAGACACAGACATCTGTTGAGTTGGTGGGTCGAGTAGAGGGTCATAGAAGAGGGAGGGAGGGGAATATTAACGAAGAATTAGGCTCCTGCGGCCGTCTTTAAAAAGTCCTCAATACATGTTGAAGGCCTGGCTTCTTCTTCATCTTCATCTTGTCATTCTTCATCATCAGTCTACTCCATAGTGCAGAGTTACAGGCATGTAGAGTCACCCAAAGAAGCACTGCAAAAAAAACAATCTGCAGTCAGTCAATGTCTCAAATTATTTTAATATCTGCATGGATCTACATAACGTAAGAATGTCTAGCACAGCCATTCATACTGCCTGAATATTTTTCCCTTTTATCACTTGCTGACAAGCGTCAGTGCTTTTTTTTTTTTTGTCAAATTAAAACTATCTTTTGAAAATAACACCCTGAAAACAAGTATTAAACAGATGTTTCACTAAACTCACAATTCTGTATTCATTTTCTTATCGGTCGGATATAAAATCCTCATTTTAAATGTCATGTTTTCATCAGCTGCAAGTGGAAAATCGCCACAAATAACAGAAATAAAGGCTTTCAAAACATCCGAATGAGTGGAATTGATCTGTGTAATGTGAAATCTGTATATTTTAAAACCTTAAAGGAGTTGAGATCAGGAGTGCCGTCCCTTTAATGTGGCGCTCAGATGGCACGCTGTATATCTGCGTATTGTTACTGCGCAGCGGCAGGACGCTTTCACCAAGCTGCAGTCGGTCTGCAGCGTCACTCAGTGAGTTCTGGCTGAGTTCTGGCCCTGAGTTAATCACCACTGCTGGGAATCCACTGACTCACACTGAGGTCACAGCGCTTCCCCTCTACCTGTTAGAGCAAACTCACACTTCACCCTCAGTGAGTGGAAAGTAATATCTCACCAAACACATTGTTACGAAGTGCTGCTGAACCCATTATGTTAAAAGGAGCTGCATAAAAAGCAACCCCTCCATCCCCCTTTTTTTTCTTGACAGCGGTTTTTCTTTTTTTTTCATTCAGTGTTGGAAAAATGAGAAAATGTCTTTCATTGCAAAAAAGCAATTCTTCAGTTATTGTTGATCTATTTTCCAGTTTAGCACACTTGAAATAGGGGAAAAAAATGAATCTAGAAGAACGATTCCCTGCAACATGTAGGAGCTAGTTTTAGGTAAATAATTTCTCAACAGTTCAACTGAGAAATTATTTCACTTGCAAGACATTTTCCCCATGTTAAAAGTAAAATAATCTGCCAGTGGAGCCAGTATTGATTAAGCTATTGTTTACTTAAAAGAGGCTGATGTATCATTGGTGTCCACAGTGTGGCACGAGGGCCATTTGTGGCTCTTGAAATGATGTTGATCGGCCCCATGACAACGAGTCAACAACTGTAAAAAAAAACTTACTAACAAAACAGAAAACAACTGACGACCCCAAACATTTGTGCAAAGTTTTTTGCTTACCTTTTGGATCATTAGGGATTTACAAATTTAATAAAAATGGTGTTCACTTTCAAGCAGGTAAAGGTTAAAACGAGAAGAATCACAATAAACTCCTTTTTGCGTTTTAAATTGAGTGAATTTTGTGGTCTGCATTAGTTTCCATTTGCCAGTTTTGGCCTCATGGGCAAAAGATTTTTGACACCACTCACCTATGACTTGATGAAAAGTTATTTGTATGTCAGTTTTGTCTTATTTACACTAGAAACCAGATAAAAATAAATAAATACTTGGTGAGATTTTGTGTTTTTGCAGCGTTCACAGTTTGTCAGGCTGGAATCTGGGAAACTTTTACAATATGCAACAGAAAACGTGAATCTGATCAGCCTGGACTAGACCTGTCTCTAAGCAGAGATGGTGAAAGTAGGACTTTAAAAGAAAACTGAACCAACGCACTTTTTGTCCGATAAAGTAACATTTCGCAAATGTCTATAAATGACATTTAATGGCTTTAAATCGATTTTTCTGCAGGTTTAGCTGCAGCCTACCAGGTCACCTCCTACAGCGCGGGCTGCTGGGAGGAACCAGGCTTCGTGGGAGAAGAGAACGGCTAGTGAGGCTGGACCTCCGCCCTGCCTCTGTTACATCAGCACCGCAGTCAGGTTTGCACGACTCTGAACCGATGAGGCGTTCCCTGTCCTCTAACTGCCTCAAATGAACTTTTAGTGGAAGAGCCCGATGGAGTGTGAGGCTTACAGATCGCGGCGCTGCCTCGGGTTTAGAACTGGCCGGCGCTGCTGGGGTCGCACTGCAGCAGGCGGACAATAGACGGGTCGCTTTTTGCTCCTTTGATGAATTCCTCCAGAGACAGTTTACCTGTACACACACACACGCGCACGCACAGCAGCAGAAAAAAGAAAACAGAAAATGTTTCAATGATCATGTGGAAATTTGAGGATGAAAAGACTCAATCTCACAAAAGAAATGCTAACTTTTATGCGGCTTTGGCAAAGTTACTTTCTTAGGGATTTTCTACGAACCCTGGATTTTTAGTGCTCAGGAATGGCCACCAGGTGGCGGTGTTTGGATGCTTAAGTCACCCTCAGCCTCTGGCTTCTTCCATACAAGCCAGCCCATTCCTCCTCCTCCTACTTCTACTTCTTCTCCTCTTCCTCAGAGGATAAAAAAGTACTTCCTGGTTCTGCTCCCTCACATCATGTCTGTTTTAACAGCATCACGGTTTAAACGCTTTGGTTTGGTGTGTGAAGCTCATGTGTCCCAATTCTACTGTCACAAACTATTAGGACTCTCAGAGAAATGGACACAGAAGAAAGAAAGTCTGGTCTTGGAGTGAAGGAGATTCCAGTTCCTGTTTGAGTTCAGCTGCAGAACCACTCTGGCTCTCTGCTGTGAGACTTCAGAGGACGATTCTGCACATTTTCCACATCAAGTGGAATGAAACTAGGAACATTTGCAACTGGCACAAAAACAATAAACTGGCTCAATATTTACATTTTCTCAAAACATTGTAACTGAAACAGATTTATTGATCTGACTATCATGTATTTATTTCTGGTTCATTTCTCTCCTTTATTAGTTCCTTAACTTCCTTTTTTGAATCCATTTTCAATTCCTATGTAAGAAGGAATCTCTAATTACTAATTATTATGTACATTAGAGTCATTATGTCATTATGGAGGCCCATGGAGAGTCATGGTGGGAATATAACACTGAAACAGAGGTGGCCGCTTTGCTACGTTTCAATTTTTGAATTATTGCTGTTGTTTTTTTTACATTTATTTTCATATTTTTCACTGCAGATGCACCGATTGCAGTTGTCTGGCCGATTGTTGAGTTTTAAAAAGGAAACATTTTGGTGCCCGAGTTTCTAAAGAAAAAATATTTGAATAAAATTTTAGTACAGTGATACATTCTCCTATATGCAAAAAATGTACTAACTTCACAATTCTCAAATACTTGATGTTATTGCTACCTGAGCAGATACCCTGACTAATTAACAAGCTTATAACAAAGCTACACTATTCAGTGCTGAAGTTGATACAACTTTACCAGGTGCTTTTTCTGCGTATTTGTCCTATCTTCGGTTTTTCATTATTATTAAATTGCGGTTAAATAGTGTGATACCATGAAGTTTTGGTCATTTTTATCAGAGGTTATGATCCTCAGACTGATCCATGATTAGTGTTGTGTGAAAAGAAAAGTTATTTTCTTTATTATGTTTTCTTTGTTTTGTTTTTTTGATAAAGGCCCCTTTCTGTTTCTCTTCAGATGAATTCTGAGACACCTTAGACTTAGGAAAGTTTCCAGCTGTGTTTTATAAAGCAGTTCTTTCTGAGGGAGGCCACTGATCCAAGAGCCTACAGATGGTACATGAAGACCCAACAAAAACACAATACTGGAAAAGACAAACTCACCGTCTCTGTTGGTGTCCATCTGCCTGAAGATCTTCTCCGTCCTCTTCTCGGGCGTCGACTCGTCCTCAGGCATCTTCATCACAGACGAGACCATCTTATATATCGCCTAAAGACAAGGACACATAGCTGTTGGAGTAACATTTTAACATCTCCCTGACTCATAAGGCAGCTCCGCTTTCTTGGTCCATCCAGGGCTTGTTGACATTTTTATCGAAATGTTTCACTTTAAAATCTCACTTAGAGGAATTCCAATTGTTTCTTCTAACTGCACGCAATACGTCACAAAAACATACAGACGAAACAAACATGAGCTCAGTTCTGTTCCACGGTAATATGTTGAAGCTTCGTGATTTCATAAAATGATGAGCAGTTCATCTCACCCATATTAAACCAAAACTGTTTCCAGGCAGAAGAACTTCATGTCATTATGTAGCATGGGAGGTTATGCTGTTGCCTGGCAGCAAGAAGGTCCTGGGTTCAAATCCTGCATGGAGTTTGCATGTTCTCCCAGTCAATGTGTGTGTTCTGTGCAGGTACTCCAGCTTCCTCCCACAACCGTGAGGAGGCTGAGCGAACATGACTGTGAGGTCAGCTGAACACTCCAAGTGTGTTTTACACCAGAATCTTTTCACTAACAGAGCATGTTAAAAATTTGAATCGAGTGTTATGACTGCAGCATGTGAAGCTTCAGTTGATAGAAAACTATTTTCAGAACAGCGCCGACCCGACAACTGGAGAAGTTATTGCAATAAACCATAATACTGTTGTTTGGAGATCTTTTTGAAGTAATATGATGATAATGACATAATAACGCAAGAACACATTCCTAAAGGTCAATAAACTCTCAATTCTAATGGACATTTAACACTAGAACAACATCCAGGTCTACTCCAGACCAAAACACCAGACTCGAGACTTTTACCACCAGTGTTTGGTAGAAAGGGAAAAATTATAAATCATGCAAAATGGAAATGATTGAGTTTGTCTTCATTCATGATGTGATTAACTGATTTCCTCCTCATTGCAACAGTTTACTAAAAACACTTGTCTTCTGTTTCAGGAGGCGTTCAGAGGTCGTACAGCCTGTCTCATTCAGAGTGAACCAACATTATGTCAGTATGAAGCCGTTCTGCTCGCTCCGCTCCGCTGCTCTGCGATTGGACGTTCGCAGCTTAGGTAGACCAACATATGCACGCACACAATCCCTGACAGACTATTTACCCGTGTTGCGTCTCCCTCTGCTCTGTGGCAGGCTGTTTGGCAGTAAACAGTGGAATCACAGTCCACTCTCTGTGCCTTTAATAGGGAGGTGGGTTTGAGGGGAATGGGAGCTGACATGTGAGCAGAGCAGGGCTGATTGTGATTACAGGCCAGCCAGAGCTTCATATAGGTGTTGATTATGCTGCTTATTACCCAGAGGCAGGATGGAGGAGCAGCCGGGTCAGAGAGGAGCGGAGGGACAACCAACACTGACACTTAATATCAGGCCCTGATTTCAGCACAGAACCGGCTCAGTTATTATCTGATGAGTGTTCAGGACGTTTAGCCAATATCGCAGTCAGCTGTCGGCCTTATCTGGAGAAACACACTCACACCGGATCCAGTTCCTAAACCCCTCCATGACAATAAGGAGTGAAATGATGGGAATTGCACCGCATGTCATCTTAACTCGATTTACTATGAATTCATTCCCTAAGATCTCCAAATGCTGCATATGGTCCTCCCCCTCCCCCAACAGGGGCTGTTATCTATTTGATGCTGTGTAATCTCAGACGTTTACATGATCAAAATCACATTTCCCACTGAAGACGAGACGCGCCAACTGTGTGCAGAGCCTCGCCCTCAGGGGGCGCACTCACTCACAAATTCAATCGGTCCACTGAAGTTTTTTCTCTCTTTATGGAACTTCTGTGTTAGAGCAGTAGGGCCATGGTAGGTAGAAAATTGATCGAATTTCCAAATTTTGAGATTAATCTCAGAAATTTCCAAGACAAAGCAAGAACACTTCTGAGTTTGAAAAGTCAGAAAAATTAAATTAAGCTCAGAAAGTTTCAACAGCAAATGTCAAAGATTTTGTGAGGAGCTTCAAAGAGGGGGAAGGTGATCCGCACAGAAGGGGTCTCACTCCCAGAAGGAACAATAGCAGACATAGAGGACAGTTACAAGTACCTAGGTATACCATAAGCAAATGGCAACCTCGATGAGGTCACAAGGAAAAGAGCCACAGCTAAATACCTCCAATGAATAAGGCAAGTCCTGAGAAGCCAGCTCAATGGCAAGAACAAAATCCGTGCAATAAACAGCTATGCCCTGCCAGTAATCAGATACCCTGCTGGAATAATTAGCTGGCCAAAGGAGGAGATAAAAGCCACAGATATTAAGACTAGAAAACTACTAACATCTGTGCAGTATATGGACTGGAAACCCCGAGATCAAAGTGGGGAACACCCCCAAAGGTGGTGGAGAACGCCAGAGCTAAGATCCTGTGGGACTTCCAGATCCAGACAGACAAAATGGTAATGGCGAACCAACCAGACATTGTCGTAGTGGATAAACAACAGAGGAAAGCCGTTGTGGTAGATGTAGCAATACCAAGTGATTGCAACATCAGGAAAAAGGAGCACGAGAAACTGGAGAAATACCAGTTTCCTCAGGGAAGAACTGGAGAGGGCCTGGAAGGTGAAGACCACAGTGGTGCCTGTGGTCATCGGGGCCCTCGGGGCAGTAACCCCCAAACTGGAGCAGTGGCTACAACAGATCCCAGGAACAACATCAGACATCTCAGTCCAGAAATGTGCAGTCCTTGGCACAGCCAAGATACTGCGCAGAACCCTCAAGCTCCCAGGCCTCTGGTAGAGGACCCGAGCTCAGAGGATAAGAACCACCCGAGGTGGGTGAGAAGGGAATTAAACATTTTTTTTTATAAAGGTATATATCTCCACAGAACTACAGTAGGAAAATACTTATCAAACATCATGCTTGTTCTTAACCACAAATCACAAAGCTCTCTTTCTAATGAAAGGGAGCTAGCCAGTGCTAACCACACTGGCTAGCAGCGGTTCTGCCTGGTGGCTCTGTCAGAGTTTTAGGTAGTGAAAAGGCAAAAGAAAGAGTTGCCCTCCATATGTCAACAGTGTCGTCAGAGCAAGCTAAAGGCAGTCTGGACTGTTCTAGCTGAAAGTGAATGATGTGAACTGCTTTCTTCTGCCTCACCAGATGACCTGTCTGAATGCCCCCTCCCTCCGTCTGCCAACAGGAACAATTACCCCCGCCCTGCACCCGTCTGCTCCGCTGACAGCACAGCCTTCCAGATGAAAGATATGCAGGCGTGAGATATCAACTGCTGATGAGTGGATGATGTAGCTTTATGCGTTTCTGTGTTCGGCTCTCGCCATTGTCTGAAGAGCCGTGCCGACTCTGATCTGTCCCATTCAATTACTCCCACAGCAAGGCTAATTACGAGCATCAGCAGCGTTTACACACTCTCTGCAGGAGAGAGCATTAAATGGTGGGAGAGAGCTGGAGTTCTCCGTCACTGGCCAATGGCGGCCGGTGTCTAACGAAACATAAAAGCATCAGTGGGAGGGAAGGCAGGGTCCTCTGGGTGAAGCATTGGAAAGTGGCAGCAGTCACGTGGCTGTGGCTGACTACTGGTCACAAAAAGTGAAATCTGAATAGCGATCCGTCCAAAATGAAGATTAAAAACAACAATCATTATGCCCTTCTACAGCAAATAATTCTAACTAGGTGCTTTTTAATGCCTGACATACTTCAGGTGAGTTTCAAGCTGCAGGAAACAGAACCGAAAGCGTTCAGACCAGATGGAGAAATTCTCTTTTTTTGTCCCAAACTGAAATCTCACGTTGTGCTGCTGAGATCCTGTCAGAGGAGAAAAGGTGAACGGATGACAGCGTAAACGTTGTGCCTGCAAGAAATTACAGTATTTTGTCTGAACAACTAGCAGGCGGAGAGGTAAAAGGTACAGAAGACCTTCTTGCTGCTGTGTGACGAAGAAAAACTGCCGTACTGAGAAGAAACGAAATACTGAGAAGAAACGGTGAATGTGTGACATATACTCTGACCCTCAGATCAGTGCAAACACAATTAATCCCTGCAGGTTCGTGTGAAAGGTTTCTAGATGAATGAAATAAATAATCAGGGGGGCATTTGGCCCAATTCAGCTCCACTTTTAGAATATTTAAACATTCCTTGTTATGTCAGCAATAACTTGTTGAAATGTTAGGAAATAATGCATTTTGATGGCACTGATATCAATATATTTAAAAATATGGTTGGATGAACTTACTTATGTGGTGTCAAATGACGATACTCGTAACCAGTGTGCCTAAAAAGCCTGAAATGATGATTATAATAGTAAATTTTATTTTAGACCAGTTCTAGTGTTTCCTCCTCTGATTGGATATGATAAAGATTTGTAGCAAACAGAGACTTGTGCTTTTTTTCTTTTATTATTGTACCTTAAATCACTATGGCATTAGATACCACAACATATCATAACAAAATGTCAAATTTGAGTTATAACTACAGTAAAAAGAAAATACATTCTCAGTTAACTGCAGTTACATAATTTACATAATTTAATAAATAGATGCAGAATATGTCTACTGGTCGTGATCTCCCTCATTTGAGCAGGTAAGCCCAGTGAAAAGCCTGACAAGAATCCGAGTCACTGCATTCTAATGGGAAGCAGGCAGAAAGTTGATGTCAGTAGGCTGCAGAAGGAAGTGACAGGTTGAGGTGCAACTCACTGCAGTCTGGTTAAGGTTAAGGACATGAAACACATGTCAGATCTCTTTTCTTTAATTTCCTGCAGATGCCTTGAAAAAAGTGAAGGAGACTTAATTTAAGTCTGAAATTTTCATACGTGTACCAAGAGGCACAAACAGTCACAGGAAACAGTTTCACCAAAGATTAGAAAGACATCTGAGTCATAAAGCAACCAGGAAGTAAAACCAGCCGCTGTCCCTGCCAGAAGTTTACATACACTCATCATGAGCAGGAAGGTCAGAATCATTTTGAGCTTCTGATGACTTTTAAAGCTTTTCTCCACTATATAAAACATAAACTTAAAAATGATTCCACTCAGTTGTATTTAAGAACCACTACATTTGTTTATTGTGCTATTGTACGTCTCCCAGCAGAGACTGGTTTAGGTAAATAATTAAAAAAGGAAGTGACATCAGGAGCTCACTGATGAAATCATTTCGAACTGAACTTTGCATTTTTCTAGAGGGCTTGTACACGGCATGTCTCACTCGGCTAGAATAACCCTACAGATCAGTAGACAACCTGGGGTCAAGTGCCTTGCATAAGGGCACAAAGGTTATTTCCTATCAGAAAAAAACAAAACTCTTGGTTACATGAGAAACACCTAGGTGTAAATTTGCCAGGTCTGAATAATCTTGAGCTTATTAGTTACTGTAGAAGAATCAAAAAGAAGCGGTCCTGTGGGTAAAGCTCAGACCACAAAAACACGTTTAACAAAAGAAATTCACTCTTAGCTGTAAAATAAACAGAATTTAAAAATGTATTTTCTTTTCTTTTTTTTTGTTGCCAAAATAAAATATTTAATTCTACATTTTTGTATTTTAGTCACATTTTGGATTTGTAAATATGTGAAGCAGTCTTTGGCCTAAAGTCGACACGCGGATATCTGGGAAAAACAAATTTTTATGCGTCTTGAGTTTTCATTAATGCAAAAACTCAGTTTCATATCGCTAATAATGAATGTTTATAAAAACTCTGACCAAAGTGGAGATTTGACAAAATGCTGCATTTGGGTTCGTAGGAAAAGAGAAATTTGGCAAATAATGCACCAATATGCCCACTGACTTGCTTTGACATGATTCCCAATCAACATCGTCTTGTCTTACTAACTTTATATTCTAATAGGCTACTTAAAAACAGTTCAACATATATATATATATATTTGTCCACATCAATAAATCTTCTGGTACCATGTTTAATTTCTGACAGGAAGTCCTGATTGCTTTGAAGCAATCTGATTGGCTGACAAGCTTCAGCTTTGCATTACACTTCCCCCTATGGCTCTAGCATTTTCAAAACAATGTTCAGGAGTGGATTTGTCCGGGTTCATGTGGAAGAAAACTCTCCTGAAACTGAACCAGCGTGTGCCATACTATTTATTTAAACGATGTGGTGAAGACATTTGTTTTTATGAAGACCAGGCAATGTGTGGACAAAGCCTCAGAGTACTCTCTGCCCCTTAACGTCCACCTTGAAAAGCTATAATCAGATATAACTTTAAAAACATGGTGTGGCAAACAGGGCAGTGGCAGTCAGAGCTTAGAGGCAAAAAAAGTTTCTACATCAACGAAACATATCATTAACGCTCAGACTAATTTCAATGCTCACAAAAAGTGGGATCTAGAACGACTTATCTCCCAGAAACCATGTGGTAGAAAGAGCCACATGACTGTCAGAACTTCCTCTCACTTCCTGGGTATTTTGTTCTTAAAATATCAGCAGAGGCTCACAGTATCAGACACGGGCTGTGTTACGGATGCAGCTACAGCGCCGTTAGTTTTTGCTTTAGTCTTGGCCAAAGTTCTAGTTCTCACATGTGTTCCCTAAAAAATCAGTGAAGGCACAATCAGGAAATTTTAGAACGATTTATGTGCCGTCTGCAGCTGGTTAAATATGTTGCGAGACACTCACCTGTACAATCTCCAACATCTCAGCTTTACTGATGTACCCGTTCCCATCCAGGTCGTACATACTGAAGGCCCACTTCAGCTTTTGCTCCAGCTTGCCGCGGGACGTCACACTTAACGCGATGATAAACTCCCTGAAATCTATCGTCCCGTCACCGTTGGCGTCAAAAGTGCGAAAGACGTGCTCGGCAAACTTGGAAGCGTCTCCGTATGGAAAGAAGTTTCCGTAAATCTTCTTGAACTCCTCCATGGACAGGTTCCCGCTGGGGCAGTCCCTCAGGAAGCCCTTGTACCACTCCTGGATCTCGTGCTCGGTGAAGTCTGTGCTCTCCAGCAGGTCCTGCATCACCTCGGGACGGAGCTTACTGTTCTGCTTCCCCATGTCTGCTTGTCCTGTCAGTCACTCAGCTCGCTGCTGGGTGGGAGACACAGAGGAAAGACGGTTTGATTTTAGGACGCCACAGTTAGCATGCACTTCAGGACATTTAGCTTTCATCTCAGGAGAACAGTTCAAAGTTTACATGCTCTTTTGACATGTTGAATTTTGATAAATGCATGTTACTCAGATCTAAAGGTGACAAAATAAAGGTGGATTTTGTCACTTTTGATGTTTTTCTGTTTTGAGTGGTTGTAGTTTATTGGATTCAGGAGTGTGGAATTAGCAGTGGGTTTAGCAGTTTTAGTTTGTGTGAACATTATATAAATGTTGATACTTTTCATACAATGACCATCACCAAATGAAATTTGCTCTAGTCATATTCAATACATTACAATATGCATTCTGATGAAGCTGAATAGTCAGCAAAATAAAAAAAACAAAACACTTTTACCTTTTAATTTGTGAATTTTCACAGATTTGAGTTTTTTCAAATTTTTTCCGATTTCAGACTTTTTTGTTAGATTTCTGACATTTCTTCAGATTTTTTTTTCCAACTTTTGACTTTTCTTCAGATTCCCGAAGAGTGTTCAGTGTACCTTTGGACCATTACTTCAAACAGAAATAATTAATTATGAGACTTTTTTCAGTTAATTTATCCCAACGCTCAGTTTTCATCTACAGCTTCTGACTTCACAATTTATTACAGGCAACTGGAGCCAGCAAACATTTGCTAACATAAATAAAAGTGTTGAAATGTGAGGCAGGAAAATGATCTACTTGAATAGTTAAATAGGAAACTTCACAAAGTATGACCCAAAAATGAAAAACACATCAAATATACCCTCATTTGGACAGAAGAAAATCTCTCCTTACAAACTCCTGGAGCTTTCCATGGAAAGCAGATCTGTGTACTCTGAGTAAACACAGCACCATATGCACACCGTGCCTCCAATAACCCTGTTAAATTCTCTCCATTGAACACCAAATTAGGCTGAAATGCACAAGAAGGAAAACGTGGTGTCGTCAAATATTACGTAAGATGAGGTATTTAAACAAGATCCTCCACATTAATAAATTCTTGAGAAACTGTTTCTTCCCATCCAGAAGTTGCCTACAGTGTCTGTGTTTGCAGTTCAGATCTTCATGCAGCTTTACAATGCCCATTTCTGCTGTTTATACTCAATTTATGAGTTCCTGTTAAATGAGAAACACAATATTTGCTTAAAATATTCACCCACATAGGATGGCCACCAAGCATTTGATTGAGGATAAAGTGACACGTCTCCTTTTATGAAACACTGGCTGACTGCAGGCTGAAGGTGGAGAAAGGTCAGCTGAAAATTATAGTCATAAAACAGCTCAAGGAAGAAACCTTAAAGTGCTTTATCGCAATAACTTGCTCACTAGAAACTTTACAGTATTTCATTTTCGAATCAGCTTTACGGTGACATCATGGGCAGAAATTCCCAAGTAGCTCCGTTCACAAAAATGCTTTGAATCTGTATTTTTGTTCGCACAGCAGTGTTGGACTTCTAACGAGAGACATGGGCGACGGGGACAGAGTCAGCCTGCTGAGATCAGAACAGTGAAAAGAGGCACACTGGTGATGATTTGATTCTGCCTTTTTCTCTGCTAGCACAAACAGGAAGTGCCTGCTCATAAAGAGATTGGACTCAAATATCGTTAGTATGGTTGTATTGAAATGGCTCGTAATTTTTTGCAGGAATCCAATGCAATTAGGAGTGAGAAATAGCTTAATAGGCAACCTCTTTGGTTTGCACACACCTCAGTGTTTGAGATTGCGTTTAAATGAAAAGTGTCAGGAAATGAGTCACTTGTGTCCAGAAAACCACAGTGAATTAAAGGCTGCAGTTGGAAACCATTGGCGATGAAACTGGTGTTGGAGTTCACATCCCTTCAGTGGCTGCAACAGTCTCACTTTTTCAATATATCAGTGTTGGACCACTTTCTCACAAATTTGCTCTGATTTTTTTGTGTTGTGTTCATGCAGATACACAAGCAGCACAGTTTATATTTATATGTGTGTGTGTCCAGTGTGGTTAGCTATGTACTTTTGTTTTTAGAATAATGTGGTCTACAGACTGATAGCTTTGAAGTTGCATTTTTTTAATGCAACACAATGAAAGCATTGTGTTTCAGTGAGACAAGCTAATGGCTGCTATGTTAGTGTATCAAGTAAGATGTTGACTTTTGACTATTTTTCAAGTTGTTTAAAGTGGTACCCATGTTTGGAACACTTGCATAGCATCTTATTAGTTCCCTTAGACAGATCTCTGAGCGTAAAATACAACGTTAAGTACTGCATTTAGTTGACTGCATTTAGTTTTTCAGCGGTCCAATCAGTAGTTGTTAAGGAAGATCACTGAAAACAGCAAATGCTGCTTTCACGGTTGTGCTGATGGATCAGAGAGGAGTTTTTCAGGCTGTAGGGACAAGTCGTGTCTTTCCACTCCCACAGCAAATCAGACAGAAGCAGAAAGTTGGAAATGACAATGCGTCTAACTGACCATAACGTCCCTAAGCCGTGCTTCTGCTATGGAAAAGAAATGGACAAAAACAATTAGTTTTCCATATGGACAAAAAGCATGTGCACGCACTTAATTAATGCTGATTTGTTTAGCTACTTTCAGGTGTTTTTCTTGAATTCCCCAGAGTGTGAATAAATGTTACTTGCTTAGCTTTTTTTTTTAATCTGCTTTAACCAAAAGCTACTAGAAAGAATATTTAATCCATAATTTGTCTTTCCACATTGTAAACAAGATGATGGCTTGGATTTTCCTCAGTGGTAACATTTCAGTTTGTTGCCAAGCTCTGTAACTATGAGATTTCCCACCTGACAGTAAATACTAATACCAAACAACTGAAACACACACCCACACACACACCCACACACACGCACGCACACACACACACACACACAGCCACAAAGCTGTTATCACCGACCCTGGGTGCTTTGTGACCTGTAATGATCCACTCTCCCTGCAGCCTGCAGATATACACCTGTTCCCACTCCACTGCTTTTGATGACATCCTCAGCTAACCGAGACCGTTGCTGTAAACCGATCTGTGTGGCTGTGAGGACTCTATGTGTGTGTGTGTGTGTTAAATTACTAAAAGGCTAAACTCTTCAGACGGTTTTTCAAGTAATTGTTTTTTTTTGTTTAGCTAAATACGCTAAATAACTGTCAGGGAATCAATGAATGCAGATAAGACGCTGAGTGGACTTGAAGATACCAAAATGTCAAAACATTTTAGAGAATTGAAAGAAAAATTAAGCTAATCTTTAGAATACAATAAAAGCAATTTCTTCACACGTCTTTTTTCCTGTCTGAACTTTGTGTTTTCTTATTGTCCACAAATTCTTATCAGATCTGTCAGAATGAAAACATCAAAAGGCAATGTGGCTGGGCTGACACTTTACCACAAATACACCACAATCAAAGCAGATAGCTTAAAGAAATAATAGGATAGTTAGACTAGATCGACCTGTTTTGTCTGTCTGTATATGTGTGTGTATGTGCGCATGCACTGAACTTGTCTCTGATAAGTGTGTTGTATCTAAGAGACTGACAGCAGCTGACATTAAAATGAGTAGGCATCGCTGAGTGGCAGGACACGTTTTTGTCTTTCAAGGCTGACGCGAGCAGGAATCACCTCTCATTCGCGGCTCCAATGAAGCTTCTCTTCTAATGCAAGGCTGTAGTGTTGGTTTGCTCACTGAAAATGAAGGGACAGTTCCTTCGTCAGATGACACCAGTTATTCACACACGTAGTGTGTAAAAGCACACTGTTTGCAATGCAATCTGTGACAAAGTTCTCAACACCTGGACATGTGTCCTATGGTTTAATGAGGTGATTTTTTTTTAAAGCGGAGGGCCACCAGGGGGCACTGTGAGAGCCTCAGCAAGTTGGAGGGAAGATGAAGAAAAAAAACAAAAAAAAAAAAAAAAACAAATCTCTTGAATTTTTCATCATTGTTTCAGTTTTGTTTTTTAATTAAAAAATTAAAATTAAATCAGTTAAAAGAACTGATTAAATTTTTTTTTCTGATGCTCATTTTTCAAATTTGTCAAGCGACTTTGCGCTGCGAACTCGCCTGGTGGACACAAAACGGAAGAAAAACACTGAAGGAACCGACTGCTGCAAAAAACATGTGGGAATCAAATGAAAGTTGATGTGATTAGTGTCAAATATTGCACATTTTCTCATAGTGAAGAGAAAAAAAAACCTTATCTGGTAACATTTATAATATATTATCTCATTAAAAGAAATGCCTGTTGTATGTATTACATCAGCAAGTCAAACAAATCAGACAGATTTTGGTTCTTACTCAAGATATCACTGTTTTTTGCAGAACACCCATCAGGTGATGGGGTGATGCAGGTGATTCCTGCTCGCAGACAAAAGATGTTCTCCGAGCATCTTTTGAACATCTTTCGTCCAAATCTTGAGTGATTTTGTTGATTAAAAGTCACATTTTCTTTTTAAAGCAGCAGCACTAGCTGCTTAAAGTGACTTGAAATTCCCTCAGTCACAAAGTGCAAACATTGAGATCAAACAGCTTGTCAGATTCAGATAGGAACACAAGCGGCTTGGATTCAGATGTTCATCTCAACAGCCTCACCCACCGGTTCAGAGGCAGATACTCTTCCTCTGAACCGGTAGAGACTCTTGGGTTTTATGTAAAGCCCGATAAAGCTGTTGGAATATTAGTGAGATTGGGTCTGCTAAGCTAGCAGTAAACAGCCCTGAAGACTAGAACAGATCAAATGGCAGACAGCACTAGGCAAACATTATGTCTATGTTGTGCATGCCTCTTGTTTCCCTGAATCATGTCTTTGTTTTCCCATGTCTCTGCTCTGCAGATGACCTCAACAAATCCTTTCTCTCTGCCATTCATAAATGCCTCATCACTCTCCTGCCCTCCTGCCTACATCTTCCATACTCTTTATCCTCTGATTTAATTCAGCCTACACATGACCGTCTCTTTCTTATAAAGCAATTTCTCTGCTGTT